TATATACAGTAAACCATTAATGTTTGTGTAAGAATTGATAAATTAAAACATGTGTATAAGCTATTTAGGTTCATTTTTCACTCATTCTACATCATTAATTGTTACCCTTAAATTAAACAATCGCCCTCAAACAGCTAACACCATGCACCACACCCCATTCCTCTAATGTATACCCTCAAAACTTTCTTGTAAGCCTCCAGCTATAAAAATAATGTTCATTAATACTTCCTCCTAGATAAAATCAATATATTCAACACCTATGTACAGTAAAAGTTAAATATGATTTGGGGGGATACTAATCCTATGGGGGGGATACTTATCCTATGGCCAGTTTTAGTATCCGGATACTTATCCTATGGGGGATACTTATCTTATATGACACCGGGTTATGCCAATGCTAGCTGTAGTTTTTCACTTTTAGTGAAATGCCAAGTTGGTTCGGGTAAAATGTCAGCACAACTTAACGCTTATCTCAATGACCAATCAGAGCCAATCGTTGAGGAGATACTCGGTGTCGATGATCTCATTATCACCGTGCGAAATATCTCGGGGACACAATGATTTAGATGTTTTGTGAAGTGCGGTCAAACTACGGGCTTATTCATATCTTTAAAGATAAAAAAAAAAAAAAAAAAGCTTTTTTTAAAGAATAAACGTATTCGAGACAGATCAAACAATAACAGATATTTGTAATAAGGCAATATCAAATATGTGATTAAAATAATAATATCTGGTACATAAGTAACCGTACCAACTATCAATGATATCGTGTTTCTATTGTTAATGTCGGCGATCAAATAAACTAGTTTATGCTATGTACTGCAGGAAGTATTTTATTAAAAACAACAAGACAGAAGTAATACCGATCCCAGCTATTCCAGCTATATCAGCACCAGCTGAATAAAAAGTGCACAAAAGGTAAATCGAAAGTTCTCTTAAACGTTTCACAATTTGATTCCTGTTAGTTTGAACTTTTTCCAGAACGTTTCATAATGCATGTCATAGCTGCCTAGAAACAATAAACCACCAAGAAAATATAACACAGTTCATTCTGTTTTACTAGATGTGTGGTGTGTATTCTACTCAGAACGATAAGGCCTGCGATAAGGCCTGTTTTACTAGATGTGTGGTGTGTATTCTATTCAGAACGATAAGCTTGCTTGTTATTTAACGGCAATATCAAAAGAAAAATAATATTAAGTATGTCTGATTCAGCAAATAAAACCTGACTGTATTTAAAAAGAATGAAGCATTACTGATTCCATAGCTGATAAGGATAGCGTTATGTAATAAATGATCGACTATCTTTATCACGTGATGCAGTTGACCTAATTTACTATCATTTTAAATCACATGTTGGCAGGCAATATGCTTAATAAAATGTAAGAATAGTGACTGGTTACTTCAATGCTGGCTGGAGTTTTGGTGGAGTACGTACCAAGTCCGTTCGGGTAAAATGTCTGCACAACTCAACGCATTTTCTAAATGTCCAATTCGAGCCAAAGGTGACCCAGCGTGTCCGCTTCACAGGGACATGACAGTGACGTCACTGTGCCGTTATTGTACAAAACTGGTCTGTGTTAAATGTAAATCGTCTGAGCATGCTGAACACCTTACAATGGACTTACACACAGCCGTTTCTAAGAAGAAATGCGAAATACAGCAATATACAAGCCAGAAGGCTAATATAAAGTTATCGCAACTTCAGCAGATCATCAAATTAAAACGAGATGAATTTAAGAAGATTGGAAAAACATTAGACGACACCCAGATCGAAATTAGAGAAAATAGGAAGGCCATAAAACAAAACCTGGATCAAATATCTGACGAATGGTGTCGCACGTGTGAAAGACTCAAGCAACAAAATACGCATGCCCTGGATGAGCTGCAATCAGCATGTGCCACGCTAGAACATTACATTCAGGCGAGCAGGAAACTCATGCTTCAAGAGGGATCAGATGTTCTGATATATGACACCGACATTGGACCTTACACTAACACCACCACAATGCCAATACCTGTCCTGTCTACAGCTGTATTCACGCCTTCCGTAAACAGGGTAACACTTCTCGAACAAGCTTTTGGTGTACTGAAAACATCTGAAACCTTAAACGAAAGTGCCGATGAGAAAACAGACAAAAACGTAGATGTGACGACATGTGGAAAAGATTGCAAGAAAATGCCAAAACCCGACACAAAATTGGAGACTATCGGGATACCTACACCACCAGTAATACTTGAGAACAAAGAAACGGCATCGCCTGAAGCGAAAGTAGACAGTGAAGAATCGCTGCCACCTAAGGTTGCGTCAAACACGAAACAAATGTTTGACTTCGAGGCTAGAGGTTACACTTTTCACATCCATGATATCAGTCCAGAATCTGACCAATCCACATGGGTGTGCTATAGGGAAAGTTCCATGGTCGCACAGCTCGACAGAAAAGGAGCGGTGTTAAAAGAGATCGAATGCGAAGGAGTAGTAAACGGTATATCGGTATCCCCGACAACAGGTCGCCTCTGGGTGTGCGTGGGCCGGTCCGTGTACGAGATTACTTCTTCCGGTGCCTCTCTGTTACGATTCTACACTGATGCGGATCAAACGTGCCTTTGTTTATCACACGACAGCCGGGTCATTGTTGGAATGTTGAATTCTACTATAGGTGTATACAATACAAGGGGTGTGTGTCTCAAAACGGCAAAACAACGAGGTAGTCCTCTGAAGGTTGCGGAATGTCCAGTCACGGGAAACACTGCAGTAGTCTTGTCAACCGCCGCGAACAAGATGTCAGGACTTTCCATTTTAAACAAAAAAATGGAAGAAATTGGTAGTTTTGATTTGAACATCGATGGAAACTCCTTGAATCCACGTGATGTTACTTATGACGTAAAAGGAAATGCTTTAGTGGCCGCTGTGGGACTAGTTCCTCATCGTTGTCACCTCTTTCTCCTCCTTGACAACCGTGGCAGTGTTAAGCGGGTGCTGGGCAAGCACAGCTCGGAAAGATGTAGCTCTCCTCTGATTGGAGTCGATAAGGTCAAATGTCTGTGGATCGTAAGTCACCGCGATCAAACGTCACCACAACGCGTTCAGGCTCTACAATATTGACATTAAGTCATGGTGATCAACTGTCGCTGCGACGCGAAAAGGATATCCAGCGCTAGCAAAGTAAACAAAATAGATCAAAATGATTTAAAATTACTGTTGTGTGTTAAATGCGTTTCAAACCACCAGGAAATAATGGATGAAGCGATGACAATGACATGTAAATATGTTACCAATATGAGTATGGCATCACAGTTGTATTTGGTTAGAGGATATACGTTATGATGTTTATGTTTATATTACGTACTATTAAGTTACATTTTTTATTAAAAAAATGTTAATGTTTACGTGTGTAGATACTGTGGTTGTGTAGCATTAATGGTTAACGTAAAAAGCTTTGTATATAATCTTCTTCTTTTGAAGGTAAAGCTGCGCTCAGTTATACAGACTGATATACCCGTAAAGCAAAAAATGTATTTAATTAACCAATCATTTCGTTTCACTTTCAGATATATAGTTCAAAAATGTAGGCTATACAAAAATCAACGAGGTAAATAAAATTGATTATCGCTGACATTTTACAGTTTTATATTTACATTCTGTGTTGCATTTGCCTATATGTCGTTAGTAAACCAACTTGAAGTATATGAGACTGTATACTACAATTTACAGTGATACGGCCAGTGTAGGAATACAGCTGGTACAAGATAAACAAACATGGCCGCCCGATACTTTCGGTATCAATAGGCCTATAGTCGGAAAACATTCTGGGTTCGTTAGCATTGAGCAATATAGGTCATCACAAAAAAATAAAGCAACTTGACAAATTATGACAATATAAATTTATTATAAGATGTGTAGGTACTACAAAATTATTGTAAGCGCCATTCTAGATACAAAATTACCAAGTTTGTCAACGTCATCACACAGGGGATCGGTTTCGAGATTTTGAGTTATGCATAACATCAGTGAATAACCACAACACTAAAATTCAGCATTTCTAAAACCTTGTAAAAGTCGAGGGTATCGACAAGGTTTTAAAATGTGTATAAATACCCTTTTAAATGTTGTGGTTTTTCAGTGATGTCATCCATTACTAAAAATCACGAAACCGAGCCCCTGTGAACGTCGTCTGCTAGCGATGCTAATCTGACCGATTAGACTTGGAATCTATTTCAAACGAAATGTCCTTGGAATCGTTATCACCTACTGAAAGGCCGTCGATACACCGATAAGTAATGATGTCGCCTAACGGGCGACATTCTATTTATCTGACACCCAAATTGCATTCATATCGACTGTATACTGCATCTGGTAACAGTTCAATGCTTAAATATATATACTAACTTCAAGTAAACGCTTCCCTTGCTGGTCTTATTATCCTTGATTTTTTTTCTCCAAGAATTTCCAGGATGGAAATACTTGGAAAAAAATTCAAGGATAATAAAAAATAAGGATAATCCTTCCTTTGTTCATATTTCACCCTAGTTTTATAGATGTTGTGTTCAAGTTCTGGTTTTGCTAAACCCGTGGTTTGCTTTTATTACACATTTAGTAATGCAAGTATTTACAAATGGGCTTCGTGACCCACTATTGAAGAAAGCATTACCACGGAAAACGTCACTGAAAAGGAAGGCATAGCGGAAAGTGCAAACACCGGTAATGCCATCTGTGGTGCTTTGTTGGGTGCATTTGATGTCGTTTGGCAGAACCTAATGCTGAGTCGTCTATTCCCATATGGTATTCCGTCTTTGCGTATTGCAGAGTTATCTTATCTTGAGAGCAGGTATTGATTGTTACGTCATTGGTTTGTGTGAGAAAATTACGTCGTTTTCTCAAAAATTGATGACGTTACTCTCACAAACAAACGACGTAACAATCAATACCTGCTCTCAAGAGAAGATAACTCTGCAATACGCAAAGACGGAATACCTTCTTCATTTCGGCTCATTATGAATGACTGGTACACAATCTCACAGAGAGATTTTGTCAGGAAGGATGTATCAACCCCTGTCTATGCTTTCTGGACTCTTTCTATGCCATCTTGACTCAGACGATCTGGGTTTGATTGATACACCTCGGCATTCCAACTTGTGCAGACGATAGTCAACCATTTTAAGACTATTGGAAATCTTCAGTAACAAACGTAGGAGCTAGTGCCAACATACAAACACCTTGTAAACAACCGATCTTGAATCAGTAAGAAATCAGTAAATACTGCATCGGTAGAGAAGGATCCAACTAGACATTTTCACTCATGAGAGCGGTTGTAATGGAGTTATACCAAAGTCAGCATACAACTGTGATCAACTGTAGATCACATAGATCCAAGGATGGTGTACGGGCTTGGAGAAGAGATAATGAACGCAACAAATCTGAAGACCACAGGCAAGCTCTGTAACAGATCGTTAGAATGCCAACTACAGAAAATATCTTCTTCTTCATACGAGGGCTCCATCAGTTTGATGATTATGTCATCTTACAGTCAACAGGCTCAGATAAACTTTCTTGTATTTGGATACATATCAAGAACCGACTCCCGAGTCTGACATTGCTCCCAGGTAATTCAATAACAATAGCCCGAAGTCGAATAGCTGGTCATATCTGCTCCACCATACGGTGAGGGTTAGCAAAGTTCACTATGAACATCTCCTGATCCCAATTGATTGAATTAGAAGTAGAGTATAACAATGATTGGCATCCCACTACTAAACTCCGCAGTAGAAATCACAAGTAAAATTTCAGTCACTAACTTGTTTCCAAAAGCAATAGTAATATACAAGCCTTCCCCGTTATGTAATTTGCATGTCACAGTTCGCTACCCCTGTTAGATAAGCCCTGTTGACCAATAAATAGCATTGGTGTACAGGGTTTTCTAACGTACAATTTTCGATCTACTAGGAGGAAATGTTACGGTCATCATCAGTACTTGATTTCATATTGTGACTCAGTATCTGTCATGATTTGTAATATGAGTCTTTGATTTGTACTTTTTTTTCTTTTCTGTATTTTGCAAAATTTACATTTTAAAAATAAGCACGAACAACTCATAAAGCTAACCAGCCTTTGAACAGCCCGACTCGTGTATTAAATATTCTAATTTCTTATTTTAACCTACCTTACAATATTTTTGACCTAGATTTAAAAGTATATTCAATATATCTCCTAATTGGTCATAGTGCGCTAATCATTGCTGAATATATATCTTTAAGGTGAATATTTTATTACAAACACAACACAACAAGTTTTTTTCTTTAAAAAATTGTTTATCATTATCAGATATTAGATACAAAAATGAAACAACACACAGTATATTCTAAGAATATTGAAGCATGAAACACTACACAATTAGTATATAAACAGCCATTCAGAACACCTCCAACATGTAGTTAAATCACGGAAGTGTCCCGAATGTATTAACATTATGAGCTAATGGGAGAAATGATCATGAAATTTTAATGAATTTTGTGTTAATTGAACAGAAGTAATATTATGCAAGTTTCACACATTAAGATGTAGTATCATCTAGATCTGACATTCAGATTTCTCATTTCTATGGATTGACCACTTTCGCTTTGTTACTTATTCTTAAAAATTCTTTTTTGTGAAATTTAAATCAAAAGTTGTCCTCTTTCTCAAAGAGTCTGTAAAGGGTAACATAAAATAGTCAATAAAGAATCCACAATATTTTTGTTAATTATTTGAGTTATTGAATCACTGAAGGGCGTTCCTTTGTGCATATAATACATTTATTGATTCAATTTCAGAAACATTTCTATAATAAGCTCATAACCCCCTTGAATAAATCAATCATACTTATAAAGAATTTAAAGTGAATGAACTTCCTCGGTTTATGCAGATGCACCAAATGTAAGTCATCTGTGATAAAAGTTAGGCAGCTGCAACCACATATTTTAAGCCCTAGAAGCTGAAATTATGCATTTCTTTCAGTCACCAATGCCAACATTATTATCTTTTTTTTTATTCTAAAGGAGGGTAAATTTTAAACTGCCAGTAAAATGAGAATTGAAGTTTTTTTCTAAAAACTAAATTGCATACCTATATTTGGAAGCATATTTTCACATATTCGAAAGTCAAATGTTACCCTTTTGTAAACTTTAAACACAGAAAGTGAACTTTATATTGGGTAATGTCTATACAGGTAAAATACAGTAGTTTATAGAATGAAGTGTTCAAGGTGGTTTGTTCTCTAGAATGTTCATTTAGAATGACAATTCTACAGCTAACAACACATAGGACATGCACTAAAGCAGGCAAACAGACAGCACTATTTTATATCACATTTACTATATCACAAAACAAGTGCACCTCGTTAATCTTCCAGGCACACCTGGAGACACCTGGAGACAAACCACTCATCAATACATATACACAGCTTTGGTACTAGCTGATTGTTAAATTACACAGTAAAACCAAAAGAAAACTGCTTTATTTTACAATTATAACCGGTGATCATTTGGTTTTCAATGGGAACTGGGCAAGTGATCACAACATTATTTTTAACTTATATAACACAATATTGCATCAATGATTACGTAAGTATTTTGGCAATAGCTGAAAATAAGTGATAATAAAAACACACAACTAATACACTCTAAACCTATGTGTATTAAAATGGTAATAAGGCAATATTATTTTTTAATACATTTCTTAATCTTTCATCCAGAAAACTTGTTCAAGGAAATAAAAATAAAGAAATCTCCAAAAGATTCTTAAAACAAAAGGAGCCTGGAAGCTTTATGAAAACCAGATTTCACATTTCTGACAATTCAAAAAAACAAGTAATACAATCTTATTAGATTTTACCTTAATTTAGTTGCTCTCTTGGTCTAAGTAATATCTAGAATTCAAAAAAAATGTCTAGATCTGAGAACACATTCTCGTCACATTATAACAGACACCATCAGAGTTACCTCCCTTATGTATACCCTGAAAAATGCACATCAACTATTTGTTTGCTATTCTTTCTGATTCCGTTACCTTTTGAAGCATTGTTTCATTAATCAGAGTAATCATGACATCTGAAAACAGTTAACATTATAAAACGCTCCATTATCGTCCGTAATCCATTAAAAATACAATATTCAAGTAAAAACTGGTAGCCCTATCATTTGTAATAGGTGAATACTGTGTGTGGTACTGACGCTATACATTATGACTAAACCTACTGAACACAGGCTAGATATGTAGGATTAAAGCACGATTCCATGTTTCTCAATAGGAAAATAAAATAATGTAGCTCATATAATTACAAAATGACATACATTTTTGTACAACAGTACTAACTGATAATTGTCATATTAACAGTATAAAGATATGTCATTTCAATTTTTATTTACATTTTCAAATCCCAGATTCATACACTAGAACGACTTTTCCTTCATCTTGCATCCATCAGTATATCAACTCTTAGCTAAGATACAATTGCAGTGAAATTAATATTTTAAGATACAAGTAATGTCTTACTGTAGGAGAAGTTGTATGTACAGTAGGAGTGATACAAGTTAGTTTTTCTATATATTATGTAATATTGACACCATTTTTCCATTCATATTTTTAAATATAACAATGAAGTTTGGTACTTTGCAAGAACAAAAGTATTTTTTATCAAATAACAACCTCTCCCTTCATTCTTCAAAAATAGCACTTTTCTTGACTAGTTCATAAAAGAATACTGATAAATTAAGTGAGATTTACTGAAAATGATAAAAAAAAACAAGTTTCATGTTTCCATGCAAAAGCATTTCAACAAATATTTGAACAATCCTTTAACCTTCATTGCCTTGTTATGCAATAATCACATCTTACAAATTATACAACTACTAACAAACTCATCCAAATGTTTTGATCAAAACATGAAACATAGATTTATTATTTACGACATTGCAATTAAACAACAATTCCAGCCTCTCTTATAAAAGCTTTCATGAAATATAAATGTTTTCATTATGTATCTAGTTTTATACTTTTTAAAGGAAGATGCATCATTAAAATTCACCGAGATTTGTCCTCCCTAATGTATACAATGGAAACCTTTAAATCACCCAGCACTGTTCTGAATCAAGTTGTATTATAATTTACCAAGATACTGTCCTACCTATAGCTTCTATGAACTTTTTTAATCCAAACACCACTGATCAGAACTCAAGTTGTATTGAAATTCATGGATAGTGTCCTACCTCATGTATACAGTAGCATCTTTTTAATCCAGCCTCCACTTCTCTGCCTCAAGTTGCTTATATAACTTCATTTGACTAATGAAACATTAGGGTAAAACTCTTACAGTTTGTGTTCACCTATTAATTTTTTGTATATATTATCTGACAACTTAGTCTGAGTTTCCTCTGACCCTGACACCAGACTTAGACATTTTGACAGAGATATATTTACATATAGACATATCACAGCTCTGCCACCTCAGTTTGGAATATAGGTCGCAGGAATAATCAGGCTTGTACAGGTAGACTACATTGTTATATTTTACTTAAATGTTTCTAACTTACATACAAATAATGTAATTTATACAAATGAATAAATCTTATTCAGTGAGATGAACAGTTAAACAAGTTTATAAAATATAAACTTTATTTATTTTACAACAATTATGAAACAAGTCATTTCAACTTATATTAATCACTCTTGTTTGTCTGGATGTTAGCCCGAGGGAGGTCTTATTGTGGGAGGAAACCAGAGTACCCGGAGAAAACCCACGTGGTCGGGTAGGTGACCCCATATCATTTCACGTCCGATCGTGGAACAACTTTATAACAAACTCAAGGGACCTCATCCAAGTGAAAATTGCATTAATATTCTTATACAGGTAGTAGATAAATGTAACTACACCCTCTACCTGGGACACTTTTTACCTGGGGCACTCTTTATCCGAGACACTCTTTATCCGAGACACTCTTTACCTGGGATACTCTTTACCTGGGACACTCTTTATCCTAGGCCACTCTTTACCTGGGACACTTTTTACCTGGGACACTCTTTACCTGGGACCAAAGGAGAGAGGACCTAAAAACTGAGTTTGCTATTGGCTTAACTCATTCATCCCTACAATTTCAAAATGAACTATTCCAACCTTTGAATTAAAAGAGTTCAAATGTGTCTTCAGGGGTGAATGAGTTTATTTGTTTCAGAGATTGATATCAATAAAACAATTTCTTATTTGATGCCACAAACATGACTTTGGTTAAGCAAGAAGTAACAAAAACATATTTTATTGTAATGTAACATTGCTTCCAACAGATGTGGTAAACATTGCTCCCAACAGATGTAGTAAACATTGCTCCCAACAGATGTGGTGAACATTGCTTCCAACAGATGTGGTAAACATTGCTCCCAACAGATGTGTACATTGCCTCCAACAGATGTGGTAAACATTGCTTCCAACAGATGTGGTAAACATTGCTTCCAACAGATGTGGTAAACATTGCTTACAACAGATGTGGTAAACACTGCTCCCAACAGATGTGGTAAACATTGCTTCCAACAGATGTGGTGAACATTGCTTCCTGTCAAAATATGATACCTAAAACAGAATAAACAATTTTGAGAGATAGCAAACAAAGTTCAGTAAGTACCACAGTGCAAACAAAACCCTTAATTCTAACTCTATTATACTTCAGAAATTAATAATAAATAAAAGATTTACATGAGAAATTGTAAAGTGACTAAGGCAAGGTATTGCAGAAGGGTAACCATCTTCAGGTGTAACATCTCAAATATATATATATATAAGTTACAGGTGTAACATCTCAAATATCTATACATATAAGTTACAGGTGTAAGCTCTAAAGAAAGGGATGTATGCACTTAATGGGTTTTGAAGAGTCCACACTATCCTTTTTGATCAAAGAGAATGATCAATTTGAATAAAAACAAACATTAAGAATAATTTGAGTCTCCCTATAGAAGGTGGTACAAAACATCTTCCACAGAGCTCCATTACTGACTAGGTTACCAGCACTGCTATACATAAAACTCCACAGAGCATGTCATGTACCTATATCTTCTGAATCCACAGGTAAGATCACCTGTTAGTCACTGTTAGGACAATTCACCATAGAGAGCATATAGCTAACACCGGACCATTCCCCTATCAGAGAGAGCATATTGCTAACACTTTGTGGTGAAAATGTTATTATATCCAAATATAGTCACTACATCCTTTTTCAGACATAATCCCCAATGTTATTTAAGCTAGCTACGTAACACTATCACTATATATATGGTATATTGTGAGTGGTTATGATATAAAGGGGAGATAATTTCAATGACGGAGTTAAAAGCGAAAAAAAAAGCATTCATCAAACTTATTAACATGAAAAGGTACATATTTATGTTCAAATCAGAAAAGTATTATGCATACGTGATTAAATTGCAATTTTCATAACTTTTCATAATCACACTATTCAAATTATCTTTAAAATAAATAAGTAAATAAAAAGAACTTTTCACTGCTGCACAGTCAGTTCAATAGGCATAATTGTAATTTAATAAGATTCATGAAAATAAGATTACCTAATAATTTAATGCAAGAAAATCAGCTTAGGTGCAAAAACTTCAAGATGACCACTGGTGGCCATTTTTCATTTCAAATCTGGGTCAAGTATTAACATCAATAGGTTAGGAATACACTATTATTTCTTTAAAAGTTTTCACAAAATAAGTGTCCTCACTCTCACAACCATTATTATTATCAAAAGTACATTTGTACAGTAAATCTTCCCTTAAAAACTGCCCTAAATTTGATCAGGGCTAAGTTCAATAACAAACAATGTCGATGCGATATATTCATCCTCCTCTAAAGATTTAAATCAAACTTAAATTAGCAGTTATCATATTTTAACTTTGTGTACAAATTCAAAAAGCACTTAATTACAGTAATTAAATTACCTTCTATAAATAAAGCAATATTATTATCATTATTATCTATTATTATCGTAACAACTAAATATAAAAGCTATTGATACTTGCAACTAGTAAAACTCCCCAATCAGATACACAGGTAATATAAGTATAATTACAGATTGTTTCATACAAAGAATAGAAAATGATTTTGTAAACCCCCAAAACTTAAAGTTGTAACATCAGTGCTTGAGACTATTATAATTTAATATTCAACAAGCACTTTTATAAGTCTCTTAATAGAGTCTTATTCAGCAATAAAGACTGAGCAAGTCCAACAGAAAGGTTTTATCCATACACTGTATCATTGGCAAGAACCAGAAAACACTGCTTTGGTCCATTTGTACACAATAAATTATCACAAGAGTCTGTAGTAATACTTATAGACACAGCTACAGATATGTATTTATATCACATAACCTTGATAGCGAGACAGAGATTTTGACAGACGGAGAAACAATTTGACGGAGACAAATTGATCACAGGAAGACAGACAGAAAGACAGATGGAAAGACAAATTTACAGAGCTAGGTTGTTAGAATTAATCCTACAATAATTCATAATATCCAGTGAAGTTTTAAAGTGGTGACTTGTGATTCGGGTCCAGTTGTTTAAAACCTGATCATATCAAAAAGTCTGTTTACTGAAGTTGTCATAATACGATAATAGAGAAAAATCTGAACATTTCAGAAGATCATTTAAAATCCTTAAGCATACAGCTTTCTTTTTTATTTCAATCCAAAATATTCTATATCATGTTTTTTTTGTGTGTTTAACTTGTATAATATGCAGACTTTGAACAACTGACTACAGAAAAACCTACACAAAAATATAGGAATAACTTAAAGCATTACAGAATTACGTTAATATAGGTTACCTATCTGTAAAGGTAATCATGATGTGGACAAGCAGTCCCTGCCTGGCAACAATTAAAAACATGCATGTCGGGAATATCACAATCATAATACTTAATGCATGTATCCTGGACCTTGTCAGTACTCCTGACCTTAAATAAGCTCAGCATGTAATGGTGACATCACAAAATAAAGAATCTTTTGATTGCGACATGGAATCCCCTTACAAGGGTTGTAGACTTCCACTGAGACCATCTCTAGCAACGTCAACATGTGTGAGCAGACCATTGAAGATATAACAAGCATCACATAAACCACAATGCTATCATCTTAAGTAGGGCTGCAACGATTAACCTGATGATACGTATCATGATACTGTGGTTAAGATACATTTAGTAATAGTAGAAGCAAAGAGAAAAGATATGTTGCACATTTTTAATGGTAATACATGTAATGCTAACGGAAATAGACTTGGTCCAAAATGGGCATGACTTTAAAGTTTAAAATCCGGAAAATATCAAAGGTGTATCGTAATTTCTTCAAAAATATTGTGTATTGTACCGTATTTAAAATATCTCAATATATCGTCGCACGATAATCATTGCAGCCCTAAGCTTTAGACTCTATACAGTAGACACTCCATAAGTAGTAATATCTGTCCAGCACCAGTTGTCTCTCCTTACATTTACAATGTGTCCGAGTGCTTTAATAACAAGAGATTCTATACCATAAACATGTACAGTAACATATAAACCAGCACGCAGCACATGCAACTCAAAATACACGCCACTCTACGCTAATGTGAACAAATATTCTGTAACAATAGAAACAATATCCATTGTTTCCTTCACAATGCTAACAATGCTTGGTATCTGTATTAAGATTCACTGTTCTTAATGCTTCCATATAGTTTTATAAAAAGGTGTCATTCTTGCCCATACACCACATGAAACAGTAGTTAAAGTTGAACTGCAGATCAAAAACCTTCAATGTTTGAACTTCTTTTCCCAAGAAAATAGATCCACAACAAGTTAAGAAGATAAAGTGCACTTTAAATGATAACACTACTATCTAAATATACAGGGAAAAGCACCTTCATGTGAGTTCACAGATAAATAGTAAAATAAATCTTTTATAAAACATATGTGATTCAATCAAATGACCAGAAATGGAAAGTTATAGGTGACACACAAAAACAGTTTCACAATTAATTTTTTAAATGCTTTCATTATGAATCATTATTTTGGATTTCCAAACATCAATTTATGATGATAGTACACACTACACCCCATGTTTAAGTGTTAACGGGTGTACTTATATTCTGTATCTTTCTCACACTAACTATGAATTATAAGGTCTAGTAACATCCTCATCTTTCTAACACTGCCTACAAACTATTACCAGGTGTGTAAACTTTCCCATCTTTCTCACACTGACTGTGTATTATAACCAGGTCTATAAACATTCTAAACTCCCTAACACTGCATACAAACTATTACCAGGTGTGTAAACTTTCTCATCTTTCTCACACTAACTGTGGAAATATTCCCTATCTAACCCACACCCACACTATATTATTACCTGGCATGCAAATTAAACATGGCTCCACCTTCCTCACACTGCCTATATACTATTTCCAGGTGTGCCAACATTCCTATTTTTCTCACAATGACTGCGGACTATAACCGGGTGTGCCAACATTCCTATTTTTCTCACAATGACTGCGGACTATAACCGGGTGTGCCAACATTCCTATTTTTCTCACAATGACTGCGGACTATAACCGGGTGTGCCAACATTCCTATTTTTCTCACAATGACTGCGGACTATAATCGGGTGTGACAACATTCCTGTTTTTCTCACAATGACTGCTGACTATAACCTGGTGTGACAACAATCTTATTTTTCTCACAATGACTGCGGACTATAACCGGGTGTGGAAACATTCACCATTTTCCAGCTTTAGCTTTCATATTCAAGCTATTTTCATTCACTTGATGGTGAATTTGATCAATTTATTTTTCAAACATTGCAATTTATAATATTTCAGTTGTTGACCTGCACCTACCTTAATACTCAAGGTAATTTCAAAGTCAATTAAATCCACTGAACAAAAGCATTGAACATCCACAGACAATGTTACACTGCAACAACTATAATTTACTCCCAGTTGCCGATACAAATTCTCAAATTCAAATAGGAATGGGTTGACTTGATAAGACATGAAACCTACTTGCCATTTTGATGTGTATTTCAATGAGAATTGCTAGCCAAGTGGGTTTACTCTCTCATAGTAACTAAGAAACCTCCCATTCACCATCTGGTACATGTCTAAACATGGAATACTTTGCCTTGTGTTTTTACTCTCTCCTAATACTGATAACTAAGAAACTTCTTGTTCACCATCTGGTACATGTCTAAATGAGGAATTGTTTGTCTTGTGCTTCTTGCTGTCCATATGCATTGCGAATTGTCCGTCACCACTCATTGTGACATTACACACCTTGCAGTAGAAGCGTCCACTTGGCGTACGGTAGTTGTGGAAGTCGCGATGACGTTTAGGCTGTCCTGAGTCGGCTGAGTCGGCCTCCTCCCCAGGGAATGGATAGCCACGTTTAGAACCTACACCGTCCTGAAAGCCTGCACGGCCATTAAATCCGGCACTGCCTGTAAAGCATCAACCACAAAGACGTCCACAAAAAGAGCTAAAATATACGCAAATATTGTCAGCTATGTTATAAGTTATAACTTGTAGTATTTTATTTTGGTAAATAAACACATACAGAGGTAACTGCTTTTAGTTGGCATTAAGTCAATATGAATGCCAACTGAAACATGGACAAATTCCATTAAATACACTAGCACTTCATGTTGAATTCATCACAATGAAGTTTGCATTCATTTCCACTATGAATGCCAATTGCAAGCTGATCAATGCTTAATTTACCATTTGAAAATTAACTTTGTTACGTAGATGATCAAATATATTTATCAAATTAAGCATTAAGTTCAAATAAGTTTATGTATCATGTATATAATTATATATGCTTGTTTAATGTATATTACAGCCATCTTAGAGAGAGGGTCAATGGTATCCAACATTACAAAATTGACTTCACAATAACGATGACGTCAACATCTAAGCCATGACATTCATAGCTAATGTGAATGCTTTCTTCACTTGGTAGGTTGGCAATTTGTATCAAAAGAAGAGCAGTTAACCCTTCCATTGTCCATGTCCCTGCGGTCCAAACTAGTCCCGACAAAACCAATATAACCCTTACTTCTGTCCCAGAATATATGCCCCACACCAGCCTCACTCCACGACGAATGCAACCCTTATCGCGGCGGTTTCCTAAACTAGCCCAATTATACAACCAGTGTAAAACTTACCTAACCTCCAGCAACTGAAGCAACTTATCCACACGACTAATGGAAATGTAACGGGACAAAAATCCTTCAGGTAGGTGGATTTGAAATGTATTTACCCAGAGATTAAAAATACCACTCAAAACAATTATCATATGCATACAGGTAAACTTTATTGAACAAAATCAAAGCTATTTTGCCCATTAAACTGTTTCCTGTGAATAAAGCAATAAATATACATAAATGTTCTCTTGCCCGCAGACCAAATCTACTTACCGTTGGCAATCAGATTTGGGTTTTTCTTGCCCTGACTTACCTAACTTATCCTCTGCCTCTGTAGCCAAGACTAGAACAACCCACCCACACAACCAGTCAGTGAAACTAACCTCATCCTCTGTAGCCCAGACCAGCATGCCCACCTGACCAGTCAGTATAACTAACCTCATCCTCTGTAGCCCAGACCAGCATGCCCACCTGACTAGTCAGTATAACTAACCTCATCCTCTGTAGCCAAGACCAGCATGCCCACCTGACCAGTCACTGTAAAACTTACACTGTCCTCTGCCTCTGTAGCCCAGACCAATACACTCGCTTGACCAGTCAGTGTAAATCTTACCTCGTCCTCTGCCTCTGTAGCCCAGACCAGCAAGCCCACCTGACCAGTCAGTATGAACTTACCTCATCCTCTACCTCTGTAGCCCAGACCAATACACTCGCTTGACCAGTCAGTGTAAAACTTACCTCGTCCTCTGCCTCTGTATCCTAGACCAGCACGCCCTACTGACCAGTCAGTATAAACATACCTCGTCCTCTGCCTCTGTAGCCCAGACCAGCACGCCCACCTGACCAGTAAGTATAAACTTAACTCGTCCCCTGCCTCTGTAGCCCAGACCAGCACGCCCACCTGACCAGTCAATGCAAAACTTGCCTCGTCCTCTGCCTTTGTAGCCCAGACCAGCACGCCCACCTGACCAGTAAGTATAAACTTAACTCGTCCTCTGCCTCTGTAGCCTAGACCAGCATGCCCACCTGACCAGTAAGTATAAACTTTACCTCGTCCCCTGCCTCTGTAGCCCAGATCAGCACGCCCACCTGACCAGTCACCACGCTCCTGAGATTTTAACTTGGATTTGTGTTTGGCCCCATCGAGATGTGCATTGAGTTGTTCTTGACAGGTGACATGGACTGAACAGAGTTTGCATTCAAACACTGTGCCGTCTCTGTAATCAAACAATGTTGGTCAGTTCTACTTCAAAAGTGGTTATGGAATTCCCTTACATATGTCACTTTTATAAAACAACCAAGTGTTATAAAAGTCAGGTGGAATAAAAATGTGTCTGATATTCTTTGTAGCGTCTGTTATACTTATTTATGTAAAACAACACAATTTTACAGAACAGAACGATTAAACAAGAGTATCAAGGGGCAATATATGTTAGTCACATTTATGGTGGAGAAGTAGATCTACTTTCAGTACTATTTACGTCAGATACACCGGATACACAGATACAAATATCTAGCAAGTTTGAAAAACATACATAGGTGAAATAGAAAGGAAATAATGCTTTTGAGCAAACTACATACTGAAGAAGAAAAAAACGTGTATGGAAAAGTAGGGAACAGAATCTCTTAACATATGAAATTTGACTTTCTGAGAAATAGGTCTTGCAAACTTTCACAGTCATAGTCAAGATGTTTACCTGGCTGCTATCGTCTCTTATTGGTCATTCTCAAATTAAGAACACAAAAATAAGGCCAAAAAGGATTTTTCTGTGAATTTGTTTTTTGGAAAAGGACCTGTCAAAACTTGAGAAATAGCAATAACAACTTTAACTGCCCCCTCAATACTCTTTGTTTGGCTGCCTGGCGGCCATCTCATTTTTCTGATCTGTCTCAAAATGTAACTATCCCAACTTCAGACCAATGGGAATACGAATGATCAATCAAGTAAACCTTGAGAAGTAGTTATAACATCAACAAGTTCAACTATCAAAATCAAAGATGGCTGCCTTGCGTCCGTCCTGTTTCTCTAATCAATCCCAAAATGAAACGTGCACAATTATAAACAAAAGGAAACCTACATATTAAAGTTTGAGAAAAATCTTAAAATATAGCAACAACTAGCCTGACCGGTCAAAACCTAAGATGGCTGCTAAGCAGCCATCTTGATTTTCCAATAGGTCACAAAACAAAATTTGGACAATCATGGATCAAAGGGACTTCTTGGAGAATAGTGAAAACAAACATTGTTTATAGACAATGACCATAGACAAAGAGGTATTTTAGCAGCCAACCATCTAATACCATGGTGGATTAAAAATTGAAAGGGACCCTAATATTATGTACAATGTTTCTCCCCTATATGTTACCAAATTAATCACTTGCTTTGGGCCCCACTTTTCCAAAGGCTATAATGGCTATAATGGTTATTTCATAGTGTGTCAATATGTTCAAGCGTGCCTATGTCATGCTTATAAAGTAAGTTAATGTGAAATAGTAAACATTTCACCCTCAAATCATGGACAATATACCCACACAGTGACATGGTCCTTCTGAGATTCGGTGACGTCCCTTGCCTGGGTAGACATGCGAACCTTCTTGTGGTGGTTTTTACCCTCGTAGTGCTGCATGGCCTGTTTAGGAGAGTTGAAGGACACATCACACACTTTACAGTAGATCTCCTCAGAGGCTCCAGCCAATCTCTGAAACATGTCACAGTAACTGTAAGGATTTCCTCCAAAATAAGTAAATGATAAAAATGTCACAACATGGCACAATTCAGCCATTAGCTGGACTTTTGAAAGATCCTGTCAAGACTCTCTTTCTTTTAAATTACTGGGTACTCCAAGCTGCATACATACATACAATTTCTCTAGGGGATTTGACTTTAAAAAAATAATTAAATCCCTGTGGGGAAATCTGATGAACTGAATGAAAAGTCAAGCTTACACATGTAATTATTTTATATTCATTAAAATGGAGAGAGACTTTCTAAACGATGAGAATGACACTTAGGTATTTGATTTCAGGGGTTTTCTTGGGTTTGCTGATTTATCTGACTCCATGAAAAATTTGATTAAGAAAACTTCATATAAAATTTGATATTAACTTAAAAGAAAATTATCACCTCAAATAAATGTCTGAAGCATTATAATAATGGATAAATTCTTCTGTTACATTCGCTTTTATTACCACATCTTCAATTTTGGTAAAATAAACCTGATCAATAACATAACACTTATTTGGTCTATAAAATGTCATACCTCCTGATCTTCCTTGGACTTTGTGCTCTCCTCCTTTTCCTTCTTGTCTTCCTCCTCCTTTTTCTTCACTGCCTCTGTCTGTCCATCCTCGTCCATAAGAACCACCGTCTTCCCCGTCACAATACTCCCTTCCATCTCCAACTTTTTTAATGTCACTTCAAGAGCCGCTGATTGCCTAAATAGTCGCACCTTTTTTGCATGATTTTTTCCATCGTAATGTTGGTCGGCCTGGAGACCATAGTTCATTGCTAGGTTACAAAGTTTACAAAACTTAGGCTGTATTAAAAGTGCTAGCTTTGCTTCCACCTCTGGATCCAGTTCTATGTCATCTTTCTTTCCAGCACCTTTCTTTTTCGGAGATGTTTCCTCTTTGCTGTCTGTGGATTTGACAGAGGAAGTGCTGTCTGTACGAGTAGTTTTGGGCCCAGGTTTACTTTCAGTGTTTTGTTCTGTTTTGAGTGATTTGACAGAAGACAGTCCAGAACTGTCAACCTCTAGAGAAGCCTGTCGCTTCACAGCATTACCACCTGTCTCAGACTGTGAAGAAACCTTCTTAGAATTGGAGGTTTTGTTATCACCTACTGGATTCTGTATGGTTTTGTTCCAATCAGGTTTGGTCAATCTCTCTGTAACTTCACCTCTACCTGAGCCATATCGCTGTGTCCCTGTGTCACCACGGTGATCCCCCCGTCCAGTCCCACCCCTGCCCATCCCTCCTTGGCGATCGATAAACCCTCTCCCTCTGGTATTACTACGGTAGTTTCCTTGGTTCATTCTGTCACTATCACCTCCCCTGTTTCCTCTATCATTAAAGCTGCCCCTTCCCCCTCTATCATTACCCCCGCGACCCCTTGAATTAAAACTGTTACCCCCTCTACCTCGAAATCCCCTGTTATCCCCAGAGTTAACACCTCTGCCCCCTTTCTGGAACCCATTAGAGCCCCTACTACCTCTGGCCCCCCTCATGACCCCTCTGTTGTTGTTACTGTAATCTGAGTTGTTACATCCTCTGCTAATTCCTGTTGTGTAGCCGGAATATGTGTAATTAGAGTGACTTCCCTTGTCATGGTTTTTGTTGTAGTGGTTGTTGTATGATTGATTTCGTGTGTTCCCAACACTATAGCTATTTGTGCCATAGTTGGAGTAACCATAATCGTTGCCACTGCCATTGTAGTTATCATAACTACTGTTACTGGAGTTACCATTCTGCGAGTTGTAATTTTCGTAGTCATCATAATAATTGTAGCCATCATAACCACTACCAGAATTGTTATAGTTATTGTAACTATTGGTATAGCTATTGTTAACACTGGTGCTACCATAGTTACCATTTTCACTGCCACCGTAGCCACTGTTCGTACTGCTGCTATAAGTCCTGGCAGTAGTGTTATTTGTGCCACTTTCAGTGCTATTGGTGTACTGTGAAGAACAGTTGTCATAGTTACTGGTAGAGGAGCTGTTATATGCAGAATTACCGTAGCCAGACATATTGGAGTTGTAAACGCCAGTATTATAACCGGAGTTATTGTTACTATAGCTACCGTTGTTATAACCAGATGTGTCCTCATTACCGTAAGTTCCAGCAGCATAGGTTCCTGCAGTGCCTTCCATATTTGAGGAACCATAGCTGCCTTGATATCCTGAAGCATTGTAGGTATTGTTATAAGCAGAGCTAGCACCAGTGGAATCATAGCCTGTGCTGGAGGAATAAGCTCCGTAGCTATTGTCATACCCCGTCGTATTCTGGTTGAAGGCGGTACCTCCCGTCTGTCGACTGTAATCAAATGTTCCCTGGCTGTTTGACTGCTGGCTGTAGTTAGATGTACTTTGGGTTGGCGTCTGATTTCCACTGTTTGTAACCGGGCTCTGTTGGTATCCACCAGTCGTCATCTGGCTATAGTTGGCGTCGACTTGTGTTGGCGCATGGCTGCCACTAGTTCCTGCTGAGCTCTGCTGGTAGCCACTGGCCACAGCCTGGCTATAGTTGGTGCTGCCCTGGGCCTGCACCTGACAGCTGCTTGTTGACACCGCCGTGTGTTGGTAGCCACCTGTGGCATCACTTGAATAGCTGCCTGTCGTCGAATTGCTGGACTTTAAAGCAGGAGTCTGCTGACCAGCACCTTGATTAATGTAGGGCTGGTAACCAGCTGTAAAACAAACATATATATTTGAAATAAATTATGACTGCTTACATGATGTAAAAAACATAAAAAAAAAAATTGTAAATATTTTTTTTAACACTTTTAACTCATGTTAACCTTTGACCTCTTCAAGCTGTCAATGTTGACCTTCGACCTTTATAAACACAATATCCTGTAAGAGATTTGCACTCTGCTGATCCACAAATCACACCAAAGTATAATGGTTCCAGATCTAGACTGTATGGTTCTTTGGGAAATGTTGCTAGACATTTTTAACATATTTGACCTCTGTGACCTTGATAATAGGTCAAGGTCATTTATGAGACAATTTTTAAACCATTCCTGTTCACCTTTACTTTCACTTTCCTTTTAAGAAATAAAAATTTTGGATTTCACTTTATCATGATTGAAAATCACTTTATTACTATAGTTAATATTGTGTTTACATTTAAGCAGCTTTTGATTCATCTAATGTTGGAAAAATTGTGGCTTCAAAAAAAAGTCCAACCAAAATTTGATTTCTATGAAGAACAGATACAGCAATTTTCAATCATAACAGTGAATCCATTATTTTTTATTATTGATATGAAAGAGTGCATTCAAGCATAATAATTAAGCAAGACAATTACGGAAAGTCAGGGGAATTCCCAACCAGTTAAAAGGGCAGAGGCTGAGGTTGAGATTTGACTAACAGATATCAACCCTGGGCCCCTAAAATCTAACATTCTAACTGGAAGCTCTGAACCAAATCCACTTATACTGCACCTGCAACAACACATACATTGTATATAATATCATAAGGGAAATTAGCCAGCCACCACCATCACACCGTTTAGTGACACATTATAACTGCTGTTAAAATTAAACTTATAAAAACATGCGTTAACAGCAATAATAACCCTTTTCGGTGCACTCTGTCATTTAATTGGGAGGAACTGAGTACATCGGAAATCGAGCAAAGTGTCAATTAAAACTGTCAACTTGATGCCGACAAACGAGCTAGTCAGACACGCTTGTCTGTGCTCTGTCTGGCGACCGCCTTGCTGCAGCCATAAAAAATGGGATTTACTTTATATTGAGAAAAAAAAAAAAAAACGATGACAACCCTATTATTTTTACCTGAATACGTCGACGACATCGAGTTTGTCAAGTATGCAATAAATATAGTTTCATGGAGCAAGTAATAAACCACCGTATCCCTCTGACGTTTGCCGACAGTTTCACCTTTCTCTGTTCGCCATGCTAATGCCAGGTGAAGGGGTAGAATAGTGCCGTTTTTTAGTTCCGCATAGGAAAATGCTATTTACATTTCGTTGCGTAGAAATTCTGGGCTAATTTAAATAACGGAATTTACAAAAATTCTAGAAATTGACTTGAGGACATGAATTAAGGGCTATAACTATCCAGAAGTAGCTAATTCACACGAAGCGTTCCGGGCAAATATTTAATAGGGTATAATTTCCATATTCACATGATTTTCCCAGACGAACCCTCAGTTCCATAAAAAATCATAACGTTAAATTGCACCATGACCTTATGCAGTTTATAAAATCATTAAGAATTTAAAAAGCATGGACTGCGTGCGAAATGCATTATAAATGCATAAGTCTATTTACATACAATAAGGTGTAGCGGTGTTCTACGGTAGCCCATAGACACCCAACAAATTGCTCTTCACTGATAGCTCTAAGCAGAGACTTATACGTCTCTGCTCTAAGGCCTCTCTAAATATGTGCGTGGTTCATGATTGGTTGTGATATACTTAGTAGTTTGTTGATATGGATAGTACTTTATCTTTCTCTTTATATAATTGATGTACAAAAATATATACTGAGATGACAAATGAAATATCCATATATACATGTTAGTAAAAAGTATGCCAACTGGTGCTGTGCCCTAGATATATTGGAATTTTCAATTATTTTGTTTCAAAATACAGGATATGATCTTTTCTTTTTTAGAACCGTTTGCACTAATTAAGTTACATTCGTTCAACCTAATGAACTCAGTGCCGCTATTTTTTTGTATTTTTTTTTACTTTTTCTTTCTTTCTTTCTTTTATTTTAATAATATACAGCAGCATTTGATAAAGCGCCCTATCTTGCTAACATAAGTCACTCTAAAGCGCTTTACAGTACATAGATATACAATTATAGATACATTTATCAATACAATTTTGAGGAATTCGTAAGAGCTGCCTTTTCAGGCGCTAACTACTAGGCCTATGCCATCTGGCTCATATCTCCCTATGTGTGTATGACTGCGTGTGTGCTGAAGATGTAATGTGTAATGTCATATATTTTATATATATTTCTTTTTGTTTGACATGCATTGGTGTGTAACATACATTGGCTTACCTACATAGTAAATGGTGCGCGCTAGCGTATGTTACACACCAATGCATGTCAAACATATGATAACCAATCCTTATATTTACATTTTATGTTGATCAACTTACAGTTCACACAAAAATAAAGACATATTATTAGTCTGAACACGTTTCAACATCAGGGTAAATCCATACAGAGAACAGCCACCAGTTGACAGTGGAGCAGTGCAATCTCCAATGTTACAGTTATGACGTCATAAGCGTAGCGACGTCACAATAGCCCAATGTATGTTATACGGAAATAACATACATTGGGCCCAGTAGAAACATCTAGGCTCAGTGCAGTGGAAATGTAAATATTCATTTATAAACAAAGAATATGATATCTGTGATAAGTGTGAACAAGCATTGAAAATGTGACGGGTCTAGTTCAATTAACCTGCATACTGGTTAATTGGCAGTTTGATGGATGCTTGCCACAGACAATATAGTAATCTAAATGTACAATAGATATATCGGATTATCACCAACATTAGAATATATCTAAACGGTCTATAATGTATATATTATATAATTTATTTCAGATGCAATTGTTTTCTACTCTCATTTTGTTCAATATAATATAGATGAAGACTAGCGACGGTAAGTTTAACTAAATTTGTTGTACAATTTAAAGTTTATTACCATTTTTTAGTATAACAAATAACTGATTGTGAGGTCAATTATGGATTGTTTGGCGGAACCGGTACGTATATACTACACGTTTCGCGCCACATTGACCTGTGGAATAAGGACAATGTATAACGACGTGTCATGTCTTGCACCCTGTCGAATACTAGACTAATCTACAACAGTAAGATGGAAATTGTCGCCTACTTTGAAATTCGAAAAACAGGACAGACCCAATATACTGAATTTGTATTAAATAAAAAGCCTCCTCTATAAGTGTCAGCATTTAACTACAGACTTTGGATATTCCTCGGGACTTGAAACGACCTGATTACTGTGATGCATATGTTTATAACAGATTTAGCACGTGTGTTCATAAAAGAACACTTACACCTGTATACGTAGTTCTCACGGTTCACATCGAGAGTTTTTCATTTACGAGAATCTGTTTACACGTGTAGTTCAAATTGTTCACATTCTATAAGTTCTCACCGAGCACCTGTTTTCAAAACAGAAGCTATGAAATGTTCCCGCCATATGCAATACGTGTATATGTAATGTAGCTGTATTGTAAACTGTTGCGTACATGGTCTTTATTTTGGAAGGTTTAAATGGATAAACAATGATCTATGGCACAGTCAAATAATATAAATTAGGGAGGTTGTCAGTGACGTTGTATTTGATATTGCTGGATACCGTCATCTTCAGCATGATTTGATTCCTCAAAACTGATATTAGTTCGCAGTATGACGCTATATGGCTGTACTCGCACTCGCCTATACCTTCCATGGTGGCTGCTACAGTCGTTAACCATTAATAAATTAATTAATTAAATTGATGAACCATGTTTTCATGTTTATTGTAAATTAACTAAAGTGTTGCTGACTTACTAGCAGTGTCTGCCAGATAATCTATCAGTGGAAAAAAGTAATTTATGTAGGTATTTTTTCAGTAGCCAACAGGAGGGGAGATAACTCTTACAAACGAGAACATTTTAGAGGGTGGCGCTTGAGGGCCTTCGTACAACTGTTAGTCAAAAACTCGTCACTTCCGTGTTTTGAACAAAACAACTTCGAGGTTGTTTGTGTGAATTTGGAGTGAAAAACAACAGCATGGGTCATAACTGGTGCGTATAAGATGTAATATGGCGATAAACTGGAGACATTGTCGACGAAGTTAGGAGTTTTAACTGGAAATGTAGGGTAAATGTAGCTAGGTAACTTAAGGTTAAGTTATTCTAATACGACGAAATCCTTTTTGTGGATCAGCTGATATATTTTGTAATGAAATACACGTGTAAAAACGGTTTTCTTGTTGAATTTGGTCAGGTTGACATGTGTAAATCTCGGTTATAATAATTTTTGACCAGAGCGTTTCTGAATATCTTACTTTAGCATATATATTCATAACAATTCAAATTATCAAGTTAACCTCAACGATAAAACTTAAAAGGACATGCATGGTTTTACAATTAAAAACAGTGATAAGTCACTATTAATAGTTTTGGAACTCTCGCTTTCTCTTTGACTTTCTGAGACTTACTCGCTTTGGCGATATTTCTTCGTATGTTTTGGTTGAAAACACTTCACCTGCAGTTTCTCTGTCTTATTATGAAAATACAGAAATATTTATTTTTAAGAACTACCTGACTTTAATATCTGTTGTTTATCATACTGTAACAACATATGGTTGAGCAGTTTTGATTTTGGATATGAATAATGTTGTTTAAATTCTTTTATAATTCGATGAACCACATAAATTGCTATCTGTCAACTGTACATGTGGAACTATTAAAATCTATGAAAGCATAAAAAAGCAAAAAAACAAGAGTGAAGCAAATGCTAATATTAATTTGGGATGTGAGTCAAGCTAAATAAGAACTTTATACATTTATACATTACTGTACAGTACAGAGAATATCATCAGACTCATTTGAATAAAAAAATGAAAATCCTCAATAATATTTTGCTAAATGCAAGTGGCCATATTTTATTTAACATGAAAACATTTACATTGGTTAATATATATTTTCTCCCACTTCTATGCAAGTAAAATTGTAAGATTTTTTTCATGCCCAAGGCCAGGGATGTAAGTAAGGGTAAGGAATTCCACCCAAGGGTTTACAAATTGGGTGAAACTTGAGGCAATTACCAAGGGTTCTGCACCAATATGAAAATCCAGAGGATGGAATTTTGACATATAAATATGTGAATTTGAGGAATACATGTACCTATGAAATATGCAATCCTTTTTTTCTGCTCATTTTAAAGGATTGCTATATATTTAGTGTTACATTTGCATAGTCTATGTCAACGAAAAATTTCAGTTAAGATGTGGGAAGAAAAGATTCAATCATTTTGCAGTTACCGGTATGTTGGATCATACTATTTTACCTCCAGGTGCATAACAATTTGGTGCCTGACCCTGGATTCCGACTCAAATTCTATATCCTCTGATAGAATATCCTTATATATATCATTCATCACACTCTAGTAATCACTTGAAATGAGTTGTAGAGAACATATAACTTGTTATGTAACATATACTGTAATACATGCAGCTGTTGCAACCATATTTTATGTCATTGTATATTCATATATTTCAGCACACATATACAAGCATATAATTATATCTACCCAGAAGTATCCTAGAAGACATTAACCATGCCGCCAAGTTCAGGTGAACTATGGGGTCACCACCTGATGCCCCAGCAGGTCCTGGTGGATTGTCTCCTACCAAACGGGATCTTGGTGCAGCTTTTCGTGAACCGTGATGCAACTCTTGAGTCCATCAAGGCCAATGTGTGGATTGAGGCGAGGAAATTCCCTCTGTATCACTTACTGTTGGATCCCGCATCCTATATTTTTGTCAGTATAACGCAGGATGCGGAGAAGGAGGAGTTTTACGATGAGACACGCCGCCTGTGTGATTTAAGACTTTTTCAGCCTGTTCTCAAGGTTGTGGAACCAAAGGGTAACCGAGAGGAAAAAATGTTGAACTATGAAATTGGTAAATATTATTCTTAATTTTAGGGTTCTACCAACTTACATTTTATGTATAGTTAGCTTTCAATTGATAGAAGGTGTTTCCTTGTGTTAGCGTGGTATGGCAGCTGTTTTAACATGGAGTCTTTGAATCAGGAATCTTAGAATTTGGCTTCAAATTCATAAACATTCCTTAGCTGAAGTTTTCCTCTAGGAAAGCTGTATTATAATAATGTATTGCAGGTATGGACAAATCTTGAGTTAAGGAAATAGTCCTTAACTTCATATACTGCATGCTTTTCCTCTTGAGTGTAAGGTTACAAATGCCCTTATTTTATTAATGTAAATGTTCATGAAACTGGAGGCAGCAGGGATGTAACATTATAAGGGGACTGGAAGCATGGTAGTAACTCTAGCATGTCAAGTAATTATATATAATGAGCTAATACAGCTAATACCCTTGACTTGGAGCCAGGGATATCAGCAAGAACTGCACCCACTTAAAAGGAGCAATGGCTTCATTTCCACATGGTTGAACGTAAAAATTGGTGTAAAAACTAATCACTCTAGTATAATAATAACTACTTCTGCTGTCTATAATGTTGTCATAGGCAGTTTACATTATGTAGTAAACCTATAGTTGAGCTCATCTTTATTGTTTTCCAGGAATTGATGTCTCAATTTATTGCCAGTAATTGTTATTTTCCAATTGCATTCCCTTTTCTTGTTTACTTCCTCTACTTTCATGTGTTGAAACTGGATTTGTTGAACTTTTATTGCAGAAACTATGGTATCCATATGTCAGCAAACTAGGGAAAGGAAATGTAAAGGGGCGATAGGATTAATGTGGGCACTTACTAGGTAAAATACAGTATCTATCAATATATGACATTAGCCTACTTACAAAGTTTTCCTTAAAATCCACAGGTATGACCATTGGAATACCTACAAATGACTTCAATGAGATGAAGGATCTAGAAATTGTGACATTTCGACGAAACATATTAGATATATGTAAAGATTGTGTGGACCTTCGTGAGTCAGCAGGCAAGGAAAGTCTAGCTTTGTATGCCTACCCTCCTAATGTGGAATCCACATCTAATCTTCCCAAACACCTGGAGGACAAACTCGCATCCTATGGTAATTATAACTGAACACAGGAACTAGGCCACTTCATTGGTCAAAATACTTTTTCTCTGTGACAAAGCTGGGGGTGGGGAGGTGTTGCAGGGGCCACTCCTTGTCTACCATTTTTCTTGAATAACAAGTTATTTTTCACATTTTTCTCATTTTGAAAAACTTATTAAGAGCACACAACAGGACTTGAATGTTGATGGCATGCATATGATGATATGGGAACACATCATTATGTGGTCACCTCATTTAAGTCTGTTTGCAGAAATACAATCGCACTTTGACCTTTTTGACCACTTGCCCCAGAAATCGAACATGTTACTCGCGGACAAGGACATTCTGTTGGTGCTTGTCTGACCCCAATTTGTGATCCTTCAACTTGATATTCTATGCACTTTAAATTTGATATCATATTACCATGCAGTGACTGTACACACATTGTGCAATCTAACACCATGTACTTCTTTCTAAAAAGAATCTTCTTTCTAAACATTTTTCTTCATGTTGGTTGTGTAAAATGGAAAGTTCTTTTTTCACAATCAATAAAATTTTCTATGTGACATTTTGATGACTTGTACAGTATGTACTCTGTCACCTTCATCAGACAAATGACCAGTGAAGTGCATGCACACAAAGATGTAAAATGTGTATGAGTTGCCCTGGTCATTTGTCTGATGAAGGTAGGTGCCAGTATACATATCGTACTAGTCATCGGACGTCACATAGAAAATTTTATTAGTTGTGTAAAAAGAACTTTTCATAACACCATGTATGTGTGACAATGTGAAACACTACTTCTGTAAGCACATACCCTTATATAAAACATGTTGTTCAATATAGCCATTGTTTACAAGTTACTTTGTACATGTATGTATTGTGCTGCAATTTACATGTGGCTATAAACACAGTTGTATAATGTAACCAGGAAGATGTTACATCGTACAAAGTGGTACATTAACCAATGTTATAAAGGTACAGTAAATAAATATAGACCCATTCCCAATCGAAAAATGACTCTCTATTTTCCCAATTTAAGTCTTTTTTTTCCCAATTGGATCAAAACACGTGTTTCCAGGCAACATATGTGCAACGTTCAAAGTATTACCGTCCATGAAGTAGCATTCAAAATACATAATTAACGAAAGTTTGAAATTGAATAATTAAATTAAACACGGAAAACTAATGAATTTATTTATTGCTTTACATTTTTCAGTAAGAAACAGCAATAGGAAAACATTTTGCTAATCACAATGCAGGCTTTATTTTTTCCCAAACTTATGGTATTTTCCCAAACCTGTACATGTGGGAACACTGATGATATTTTCCCAATTCCTGCTCAGGGGCCTTTTCCCCAAAATGACTGGCAAAAACCATGACAATGTATATTGAAAAATTACAATGTTATATACATAGGACTACACACTATATATGTTACTGTGTACAGTGTGACGACATGATGTTATAACTACTGTAAACACTTTTATACAAAGCTAGAGTGTGTTTGTGTTTACAGATAACTTTGTGGTGGTGTGTATATGGGTGGTGTCTGACGATGGAAATAGGACAAAGTTCAGTGTAAAGGTATCCCACAAGGCCACACCTATAACTGTGATAGCAGAGACAATTAGACGTCGTAGTCGGATGATGGGGATCACGAAGGAACACGCCGAGCGCTGTATTGATGTGTACAGTACAGCATACGCCCTCAAAGTGTGTGGGTCAGATCAATTCTTACTGCAGGAATTCCCTATTAGTCAATATAAGGTAAGAGAGTATGGAGATATCATTAATATCAAAGTTTTACTTTATACACAAATAATGTAGGTATTAAACGTGTCGCAACGTTTCAAGACCAACTAGTCAATTTGTCAACCTATGACAAAGGGACCAGTCAGTGTTGAAATGTTGTAACACGATAAATACGTAACATATTGTTTGTGTATTTCCAAACTGAGGAATCCTATTGGAAAGTATGATATATTGGTTGGTACACGTTGACAATGTTTGGTGTAGAGTTATAAGGAAACATAATTTGACAATACTTTGTATGGAAATGTTAGATATGCTGTGTGGCTCTTACTTCGATATGTGTATCCGCAGTGACAAGATTCCAGAGTTATTGGTATTTGTTTTTAGTTTGTACACAGAGATGTAAAATTTATATTTATACTACTATTATATTGAAATAGTTAAGTATGTGAGGGAATGTGTTGCAATTGACAAGATTCCACAGTTTATGGTATTTGTTGACAGTATGTGTGGGAATGTATTACAATTGACAAGATTCCACAGTTTATTTTATTTGTTTACAGTATGTGAGGGAATGTGTTGCAATTGACAAGATCCCACAGTTTATGCTACTCACCAGAGAGGGTATATATGCAGCACTCCCGGAGAATAACTTCGCAATGCCTTCATACGCTCAGAGAGGTGAGTGTTACTATTTTCCTTTGTCTAGATCTTAATGAAATACAGTGCACTCAGTTTCCTTTTAGGCTATTTATATGATGATGAAATCCACACTTCTTGTAATAAAATGTCACTTTCTGTTATCATATATTACTTCCTGTCATGAAATGCCATTTTCTGTTATGACGCTTTACTTCCTATATACCAACATCTCAATTCCTGTTGTAATCTGACTAATGTTTTAACTTGATACGTCTTCATTTACTTTGCTATTTCCTGTCACAGGTCTCCAGGCGTTGCTGGACATCAACAATAAACAGACCATTAGTCTGTGGGAGATCCAGGCCAACCTCCGCATCAGGATCCTGTGTGCTACATACGTCAATGTGAAGGAGTCCTGCAAGGTAAATCTAAATCTCCATGTCAATTAGAGTGTGAACATTATTGCGGCAAATTTAATACATGAATTAACATTTAATTAAAGCAGAAATGTCAAAGTAAGTAAAACTATCTGTGCTTCAACATCCAATCTTTAGTATTTATTCTTCAACATCCAATCTTTAATATTTGTGCTTCAACATCCAATCTTTAATATTTGTGCTTCAACATCCAATCTTTAATACTTGTGCTTCAATATCCAATCTTTAATATTTGTGCTTCAACATCTTATCTTTAATATTTGTGCTTCAACATCCAATCTTAAATATTTGTGCTTCAACATCCAATCTTTAAAACTTGTGCTTCAATATCCAATCTTTAATATTTGTGCTTCAATATCTTATCTTAAAATTTGTGTTTCAAATAAGAAAATGAAAAAGCAGATAATAATGCTTGTTTCTGTTGGTTACAGATTTTTGTTCGAGCTGGTGTTTTTCACGGAACAGAGGGGTTGTGTGAACCTCAGGACACCAAACTTGTCGAGTCCAACAATCCGCGGTGGAATGAGTGGCTCGAGTTTCTCTACATCCCAGATATCCCTCGGTCAGCTCGACTTTGTCTATCCATCTGCTGTGTGTCCAAACGTAAAAATAGGAAGGTAAGCCTGGATCATAGCACCAGGCAGACAGACGGTTAGAAATGGTCACTAGATGATTCTTTCATGAATTATATTTTTTGATAACAAAAGAATTTGGTTTAAGATCTCACAACAGCCATGCAATTCTCCAAATGTTTCCTCGTAAACCACCAGTCGTATAATAATGAAACTACACAAGATTATTGTTTGACATGATTAGTTATGTAAGAGGCCTTATTTTTGCAGCTTCCCATGATCCAAGATGGCTGTTGAGCCTCCGATTTACAAATACAAATTCAAATTTGGTATTTAGCTGTAATATGGCACTGTGAACAGTACAGTGACTTCCGTTTGCATAATTTACAACTGCAGGAATAGTTTGGGGCACTGTAACAGCCGTCGTTATTTACAACTGCAGAAATAGTTTGGGGCACTGTAACAGCCGTCATTATTAACAACAGCAGGAATAGTTTGGGGCACTGTAACAGCCGTCGTTATTTACAACTGCAGAAATAGTTTGTGGCACTGTAACAGCCGTCGTTATTTACAACTGCAGGAATAGTTTTGGGGAGTGTAACAGCCGTCATTACAATCCTGTTACACTGCTTGTTTTGACCAAGTGATTCTGTAGAATGTTACTTAGAATGTTTTATTATACTGATAGTCACAAAGATTGATTTATTTCCTTAGGTGATCAGCTACCCATTGGCCTGGGGTAACTTACAGATGTTTGATTTTAATGATCGTCTGCTGAACGAAAAGGTCAGCCTAAACCTGTGGGCCATGCCACAAGGAATGGAAGATTCACTCAACCCTATTGGCCTCCCAGGTGAGATTACAGGATTCTTGTCACATGTTTGAGAATCCTGGTCACATGATCATGAGTCAGTATCTTAGTCACATGATCAGTATCTTAATCACATGATTGAAAATATTTGTCACATGATCAGTATCTTAGTCATATAATTAAGAATCTTAATCACATTAATCAATGTCTTAGTCTTGATTAACTGCTTCCTTAAGTGATGCAATTATGCATTCCAGCATTTATTTGCCTGTGATTTATAAGGTAAAATTTCATCATAGTGAAAGTTAACATTCTCTTCTTTCAGTTACAGCAGTGTCAACTATTCCGTCTTTGCGTATTGCAGAGTTATCTTCTCTTGTTAGCAGGTATTGATTGTTGTGTCATTTGTTTGTGAGAGTAACGTCATCAATTTTTGAGAAAGCGACGTAATTTTCTTACACAAACCAATGACGTAACAATCAATACCTGCTCACAAGAGAATATAACTCTGCAATACGCAAAGACGGAATATAAACTTGTGAAATATCTTTCCTTAACAATAACATCATGAGGTCAATTTTGTGCTTGTGATCTATACATTGTCATTTTAACTGAAGTTAAGATTATTGATTAGGTTGTGTACATACTGGTTGACACTCTACTTTGGTGGTTTAGGTTCTAACCCTGACAAGGAGACGCCCTGTATAGAGATCGAGTTTGACAAGTTTAGCTATCCGGTGTCCTACCCACCCGAATCCCACTTTGAAGAACTGGCACATATGGCATCATCACGAGAGAGGAGGTCACAATATCTAGTAAGATGATCTGACTCTTTCTGTGTTCAGTCAAAACCACCTGGGTTTGAAAGATACCTTTAATACATTAATTTATATGTTGTGTAAAGTACTTACTTTTGCATGAACTTTTGAGGGATATTAAAGGCAAATTCTAAATTTATATACATATAGTAATTATAATAATTCTGAAACATTTAAACAAATGCTTCATCTGTAAATTGTTCCATTCCTGATTAAATTCTAGAGTTCAAGATGCTTGAAGCAAGCTAAGAAGTAAATAAGTGTTTAATAAATTCAGAAAGTAAGTTGTTGACTACGAAAAAAATTTGTCTTCAATTTTATTTTTTTTGCAAAAATCTCATATAAATAAGTATGTTCAATAAATTTCTTGAAGACAGACTTAAATTTAAAGAAATTTTATGTTTCCAAACAGAAGTAATCCTAAAGCAAATTACAGTGTATTATTTGAAACTTGTTTAAGTAAAAGTCTGCTATCTATGATGTTACAGGAAACAGCACAAAGCAGGAAAAAGGAAGAAGAACTTGTGATTGATATCATCAAACGTGATCCTCTGTCAGAAATATACGACCAAGAGAAAGAAATCTTGTGGAAAAGGAGGTAAAGAAATCATTTCGATTGCATTTCATTCTGCGTATTAATGTTAAAAACAACAATGAAAAACCTAAAATATATTACATGATGATTTCTTTTAGTTTATATTATATATTTTATAAAATCTGTTTCACCAAATGGTGTAACAGTCATAATCCATTTTCGCAGGAACAATGTAGAGTGTTCAATCGTTACTATTGTGTGTTACTTTGTAGGGAATACTGTCTACAACACCCACACTCTCTCCCCAAACTTGTGTCGGCTGCCAAGTGGAACGACAGGGAACAGGTAGCACAGGTATGTCTACTGTAATACAACCATTTATATCAATTTGTATGGACTATTCACATAACATCGTTACTACTCTCACCACGACATAATTACCAGTACAGTGTATTAACCCTTTCATCCTGTAGACCATAATGGACTCATCCATATCAATGCATAGTAGAGACTACTAAAGTTACATAGGGGTGAAAGGGTTTAGAAAAATTGTTTCAACTCTCAGATTCATATCATTACAATTCCCAACAGAATATCATTACAGCTATAATGACAATTTTGTTACTACTCTCGGGAGATTATTCTTGCAACCATCGACAGAATATATTTATGAATGCCAAATGGTCCCAACTACTTCTATGTACTATAATGTAGCACAATATATAGTGCTTCATGTTTAATTTGTCATTTCCAACTTGCATGTCTATTGAGTATGAATGCCAAGCGAAAGCAGTTCAATGCTTATTTTTACCAATTTTGAAGTTTTCAAACTCATGGGAAGTTAAATTAATCGAAATTGATAATTTAGTGTGAATAAGTGTATGCATTGTATTTGCTTACAGCCATTTTCAAGGTAGTGTAAGTGGTACAATGTTACAACTATAACATCATAAAAATGGTGATGTCCAAAAAGTGGGCAATAGCATTCATATCTGATATAAATGTCATATAAATTTGGCAGAGTTGTGTAGTTCCAGTGCCATACCGTGTTGAATATCATTGAAATGATTACACTTTCTTTGGAAATCTTGGATTCCTATTAGTTGAGAGCTATGGTATTGTCGTCAAATTTCCAGAGATGTTGATAATGCTATTGTATATTACAGTTATACATGCTGCTGAAGAAATGGCCCCAGCTGAAGCCTGAGGTAGCACTGGAACTCCTAGACTGTTCCTTTCCAGACATACAGCTGCGCAGATTCGCTGTCACTTGTTTTGAAATGGGTCTCACTGACGACAAACTACAGCAATTTCTTCTACAGCTTGTACAGGTAAAAATACAACTTGTACAGGTAAAGGTACAACTTGTACAGGTAAAGATACCACTTGTACAGGTAAAGGTACAACTTGTACAGGTAAAGATGCAACTTGTACAGGTAAAGATACAACTTGTACAGGTAAAGATACAACTTGTACAGGTAAAGATACAATTTTGTACAGATAAAGATACAACTTTTACAGGTAAAGATACAACTTGTACAGGTAAAGGTACAACTTGTACAGGTATTGATACAACTTGTAAAGGTAAAGGTACAACTTTTACAGGTAAAGATACAACTTGTACAGGTAAAGGTACAACTTGTACAGGTAAAGATACAACTTGTACAGGTAAAGGTACAACTTGTACAGGTAAAGATACAACTTGTACAGGTAAAGGTACAACTTGTACAGGTAAAGATACAACTTGTACAGGTAAAGGTACAACTTGTACAGGTAAAGATACAACTTGTACAGGTAAAGGTACAACTTGTACAGGTAAAGATACAACTTGTACAGGTAAAGGTACAACTTGTACAGGTAAAGATACAACTTGTACAGGTAAAGGTACAACTTGTACAGGTAAAGATACAACTTGTACAGGTAAAGGTACAACTTGTACAGGTAAAGATACAACTTGTACAGTTAAAGATACAACTTGTACAGGTAAAGGTACAACTTGTACAGGTAAAGATACAACTTGTACAGGTAAAGGTACAACTTGTACAGGTAAAGGTACAACTTGTACAGGTAAAGATACAACTTGTACAGTTAAAGGTACAACTTGTACAGGTTAAGATACAACTTGTACAGGTACCCCCGGTTAAGATACAGCTTGTACAGGTAAAGATACAACTAGACAAATTGGACTCTGGTTAAGTTTATACTGTAAGACTCTATCATATATGCAAATAGAAATATCCCACACGAGGGTACATAATTTGGGGCAAAAACCAATGCATGCCAAGGTCTATTAAACCCAATAAGCAGTTTACATACATGGTTATTTTTTCACATCACATACCATTTTATTAGATCAAGATATGTAACTTCCATTTTGTTGCCCAATATAAACTCCTAATAAACCAATTATAAACATGTGTATACCACTGGAAAGAGTAGCACTGTTTGGTTTATACCCAAAGTATGAACTTCCAATTATAAATAACATGGCAATAGTATAGAAAAAATACTGGAAAGTATAATGCAGCAAAAAAGATTCAAATGAGATCAAACTGTCTGCAGCACGATTCCCATTGTCGTTGAATTTTAACACCATGCCCATGTAAGATGGATTTTTTCTTCTAAACTTGTTACATATTTCTTAGGGATTGATTATTGACGCAAAAACATAACGTCAAGATTCTTTTCTAAGAAATCACTCTCGGCTTATTGTGATCACCACTGAACATGAATGATTCTTTGACAACAGGCATTGAAGTTCGAGCCACACCTGGACAGCCCTATAGCCAGGTTCCTGCTGAAGAAGTCCCTTCTGAACCAGCGTATAGGGCAAAACTTCTTCTGGCTACTAAAGTAAGTACATACATAGCAGATAGGGCCCCAAAATCATCAAAAGATCGGGATTCACATCCACATTGAAATGTTGCCTAATACTTCAGTTCCATAGTCAATATGACATTCCACATGTTGTCCACATACATGTATATATGAACTTATAAATTCAAACAGATTTTCAAGAGAAACAAGTACAACATGTCTGATACGTGTAAGATGTGTATGTAAGTATTGTGATGAAAACACTTTTGCAATATTTGGCTTCAGTAGTATTATCAGTATATTGTACATTTATGAAAGACATCATGACAGCCACCTAGCATTTTTTTTTTTTTTTTATAAGAAACTCTGTGATGCTGGTCACCTGACTTCCTTGTTTCTTAACTATACCTTTCTCTCCTCGTACAGATCAGAGATGCACCACACCAACATCCGAGTGAGGTTTGGTTTAATACTGGAGGCGTTTTGTCGTGGCTGTGGCCCTTATCTGCGGATGTTGTCACGCCAAGTGGAGGCTCTGGACAAACTCACTAAACTCACCGATATGTTGAAGAGTGATGTGCGTGAGGTAGGGATCCCACACAGCGGTAGAAGTGTGTCCTGATCATAATATTAAATACTGTAAACAAACAAATATTTACGGCAGACTTATTTTAGCAGTTTTTGTGCTTTAAATAATGTGCTTAATTATAATTTGGCCAATTGAAGTTCCTGTATATCATTTTCTATTGCATATTTTTTTTATGTGCCAGTTCATGAATGCACTAATCAGATGAAATTTGACAATGGCCTAAGATTTGAGACGCTTAAGTAAGTATATTTACAGCATTTGATGCATTCTCAACAGCCAGTCAATATAATAATGGCCCTACGAGGCTATATAATAGAAAGTCTGTAACTGAAGATGATCCAAGGGAGACAACAAGAAATACATGGTAAATAACAGTTTTGTGTTAAGATTCCAAGATATGTAAAGGGTTGGCTGATGCAGCAGCTCAGTGTTTACTTTAACAGGAATTGAAATCATAAAAGAAACCCCTGATCCTACTGGTATCCCACAATACCTGGTAGTTTGCAATCTTTCAGTGTGACACAGTAGGTTAATTCTTTCCCCTTAAGCTTGCACATATGTCGTGGACCTAGTCAATTGTCAAATTGTCAACCACATTATTCACTGTACAGCTGGTGTATGTAGAAGTGGACAGACATATTGAAAGCAGTTTGAAAGATTCAAATCAACCATCTTTAGCTTAATTTTAACGTATTGTATGACTAAGGAAGGATCTAGATATTTGTGGGGGTTTTCCCAGGTGTAATCTCCTGAGCAGTCTCATCATGTATGATAAGTAATATTTAAATACATGTATGTGTATGTTTTATTTCCCAGGATGATCACCTGCGCGTCCTCCAGGAACACCTACGACAGCCAGATTATCAGGAGGCTCTAACAAACTTCATGTCGCCCCTCAACAACAGTCATCGACTTGGGGACATCAAGTAAGCCTAACATTATTTCAAAACCTTGAAAATTTATATTAAAAATAATGTCAGATAAAGACAAAAACAGTCCCAATCTTTTTGCTTTTTGGTTTTTGAGAACCACTTTTAATTGCTTATCAGCAGCTATCATGTTCATAAACACTTAGTCTTTATACCTTGTCAATGTAAAAGTTACAATATTTTTTGAACAACTTCGAACCAAGTTCAGTAATTTATAACTGTGCTATCAAGCCACTCCTTTCCTGTTAAATTGTATTGTAGAGTTAACAACTTCAGTTCAATAACATAACAACTTTTAGATTTGTGCATTAACACAGTTTTTACTTTAAGTAGAAAGAAAATTTTCAATGTAAAATGTTGTAAGATATGCTGTAAGTTTGAAAAGTATCTACTTATTGTTTTACAAACTATTTTTCCTTCCTTCAGCCTGGACGACTGCCGTGTGATGAAATCTAAAAAGCATCCTCTATGGATTGTGTGGACCAATCCTGACTCACTGGCAGACGTCTGGTTCCCTAATTACAAAATCATTTTTAAACATGGGGATGGTAAGTTTATCACAAATTCCTAAAACAGTGCACCTGTCTGAATACAAAATGAACAATTGTTTCTTTGATGGAATACAGGGATAAAGGGATTAAGATACGAGTCCCATTGTTCTCCGTTATATCTTTTACAAAGATGAGTTCCAATTTTTTGGGGGGTTTTCTGAGATGGAGTTGCCTGCCCATTTACTTTAGCAAAGACTTGTATACGAAAGAAATATATTTATTATTATTTTCATGTTTACAAAAAACGTCTTCACCACTGAGATTCAAGTCCTGGACCTCTTGGTTGTAGATCAGGCACCATATACACTTTTATATTATGATCTATATTTCTTTGCTGAAAAAAAACCACACATAAAAACAGTGGTACTAGGGTCCTTAAACAAGAGGTATGTGCAAAACAGTAAAAATGGTATTGTAAGTAATCACAAACATTGAAGTGTCCCATGTGGTGACCATGCTATGATCACAGGATGACACTAGGTTACTGTCACTCATTCAGCTGTACTATTGTGTAAGGATGACATTACGTTACTGTCACTCATTCAGCTGCACTGTTGTGTAAGGATGACATTACGTTACTGACACTCATTCAGCTGTACTATTGTGTAAGAATGACATTACGTTACTGTCACCCATTCAGCTGCACTTTTGGTTAAGGATTACACTACCACTGCCGAACACTAACTACACATTGGACACTTGGGTTTGTTCCGGCGTGACTATGGCTTTGATCATTCATTTCTGAAAGGAAACTAGACCTTTTTGCTGAAAATTATTAAGATGAAACAAAATGTTTTCATCAACAGTGTTCTGGATGTAACACTTCAGCAGCTAGGTCTAGACCTGGATTTGAACCCTGAACTTCAGATCGTTATACTATTACTCTAACCGACTAATCTCTTCAGACGTAACCTTTTTTCCTTTGACAGTACAGTTTATTGTTGCATTAATTTCAGATCTGCGACAAGACATGCTGACGTTACAGTTGCTGGGTGTGATGGATGTCCTGTGGAAGGATGCAGGCCTAGATCTCAGGTAAGGACACTGGCTAGTCAATCAGGCTTAGATCTCAGGTAAGGACACTGGCTAGTCAATCAGGCTTAGATCTCAGGTAAGGACACTGGCTAGTCAATCAGGCTTAGATCTCAGGTAAGGACACTGGCTAGTCAATCAGACCTAGATCTCGGGTAAGGACACTGGCTATTCAATCAGACCTAGATCTCAGGTAAGGACACTGGCTAGTCAATCAGGCCTAGATCTCAGGTAAGGACAATGGCTAGTCAATCAGACCTAGATCTCGGGTAAGGACACTGGCTAGTCAATCAGGCTTAGATCTCAGGTAAGGACACTGGCTAGTCAATCAGGCTTAGATCTCAGGTAAGGACACTGGCTAGTCAATCAGACCTAGATCTCAGGTAAGGACACTGGCTAGTCAATCAGGCTTAGATCTCAGGTAAGGACACTGGCTAGTCAATCAGGCTTAGATCTCAGGTAAGGACACTGGCTAGTCAATCAGGCTTAGATCTCAGGTAAGGACACTGGCTAGTCAATCAGGCTTAGATCTCAGGTAAGGACACTGGCTAGTCAATCAGGCTTAGATCTCAGGTAAGGACACTGGCTAGTCAATCAGACCTAGATCTCAGGTAAGGACACTGGTTATACAATCAGGCCTAGATCTCGGGTAAGGACACTGGCTAGTTAATTAGGCCTAGATCTCAGGTAAGGACACTGGTTATACAATCAGGCCTAGATCTCAGGTAAGGACACTGGCTAGTCAATCAGACCTAGATCTCAGGTAAGGACACTGGCTAGTCAATCAGACCTAGATCTCGGGTAAGGACACTGGCTAGTCAATCAGGCTTAGATCTCAGGTAAGGACACTGGCTAGTTAATCAGGCCTAGATCTCAGGTAAGGACAATGGCTAGTCAATCAGACCTAGATCTCGGGTAAGGACACTGGCTATTCAATCAGACCTAGATCTCAGGTAAGGACACTGGCTAGTTAATCAGGCCTAGATCTCAGGTAAGGACACAGGTTATACAATCAGGCCTAGATCTAAGGTAAGGACACTGGTTATACAATCAGGCCTAGATCTCGGGTAAGGACACTGGCTAGTCAATCAGGCTTAGATCTCAGGTAAGGACACTGGCTAGTTAATCAGGCCTAGATCTCAGGTAAGGACACAGGTTATACAATCAGGCCTAGATCTAAGGTAAGGACACTGGTTATACAATCAGGCCTAGATCTCAGGTAAGGACACAGGTTATACAATCAGGCCTAGATCTAAGGTAAGGACACTGGTTATACAATCAGGCCTAGATCTCGGGTAAGGACACTGGCTAGTCAATCAGGCTTAGATCTCAGGTAAGGACACTGGCTAGTCAATCAGGCTTAGATCTCAGGTAAGGACACTGGCTAGTCAATCAGACCTAGATCTCGGGTAAGGACACTGGCTAGTTAATTAGGCCTAGATCTCAGGTAAGGACACTGGCTAGTCAATCAGGCTTAGATCTCAGGTAAGGACACTGGCTAGTCAATCAGACCTAGATCTCGGGTAAGGACACTAGCTAGTTAATCAGGCCTAGATCTCAGGTAAGGACAATGGCTAGTCAATCAGACCTAGATCTCGGGTAAGGACACTGGCTAGTTAATTAGGCCTAGATCTCAGGTAAGGACACTGGTTATACAATCAGGCCTAGATCTCGGGTAAGGACACTGGCTAGTTAATTAGGCCTAGATCTCAGGTAAGGACACTGGCTAGTCAATCAGACCTAGATCTCAGGTAAGGACACTGGCTAGTCAATCAGACCTAGATCTCAGGTAAGGACACTGGTTATACAATCAGGCCTAGATCTCGGGTAAGGACACTGGCTAGTCAATCAGGCTTAGATCTCAGGTAAGGACACTGGCTAGTCAATCAGACCTAGATCTCAGGTAAGGACACTGGTTATACAATCAGGCCTAGATCTCGGGTAAGGACACTGGCTATTCAATCAGACCTAGATCTCAGGTAAGGACACTGGTTATACAATCAGGCCTAGATCTCGGGTAAGGACACTGGCTATTCAATCAGACCTAGATCTCAGGTAAGGACACTGGTTATACAATCAGGCCTAGATCTCGGGTAAGGACACTGGCTATTCAATCAGACCTAGATCTCAGGTAAGGACACTGGCTAGTCAATCAGGCTTAGATCTCAGGTAAGGACACTGGCTATAAGGATGACACTACATTACTGTCACTCATTCAGCTGTACTATTGAGTAAGGATGACATTACGTTACTGTCACTAATTCAGCTGTACTATTGTGTAAGGATGAGATTACGTTACTGTCACTCATTTAGCTGTACTATTGTGTAAGGATGACATTACGTTACTGTCACTCATTTAGCTGCACTATTGTGTAAGGATGGCATTACGTTACTGTCACCCATTCAGCTGTACTTTTGTTTAAGGATTACACTACCACTGCCGAACACTAACTACACATTGGACACTTGGGTTTGTTCCGGCGTGACTATGGCTTTGATCATTCATTTCTGAAAGGAAACTAGACCTTTTTGCTGAAAATTATTAAGATGAAACAAAATGTTTTCATCAACAGTGTTCTGGATGTAACACTTCAGCAGCTAGGTCTAGACCTGGATTTGAACCCTGAACTTCAGATCGTTATACTATTACTCTAACCGACTAATCTCTTCAGACGTAATACTATTACTCTAACCGACTAATCTCTTCAGACGTAACCTTTTTTCCTTTGACAGTACAGTTTATTGTTGCATTAATTTCAGATCTGCGACAAGACATGCTGACGTTACAGTTGCTGGGTGTGATGGATGTCCTGTGGAAGGATGCAGGCCTAGATCTCAGGTAAGGACACTGGCTAGTCAATCAGACCTAGATATCGGGTAAGGACACTGGCTAGTCAATCAGGCCTAGATCTCAGGTAAGGACAATGGCTAGTCAATCAGACCTAGATCTCGGGTAAGGACACTAGCTAGTTAATCAGGCCTAGATCTCAGGTAAGGACACTGGTTATACAATCAGGCCTAGATCTCGGGTAAGGACACTGGCTATTCAATCAGAGCTAGATCTCAGGTAAGGACACTGGCTAGTCAATCAGACCTAGATCTCGGGTAAGGACACTGGCTAGTCAATCAGGCCTGGATCTCAGGTAAGGACACTGGTTATACAATCAGGCCTAGATCTCAGGTAAGGACACAGGTTATACAATCAGGCCTAGATCTAAGGTAAGGACACTGGTTATACAATCAGGCCTAGATCTCAGGTAAGGACACTGGCTAGTCAATCAAGCCTAGATCTCAGGTAAGGCCACTGGCTAGTCAATCAGGGCTAGATCTCAGGTAAGGACGCTGGCTAGTCAATCAGGCCTAGATCTCAGGTAAGGACACTGGCTAGTCAATTAGGCCTAGATCTCAGTTAAGGTAATAGGATTGTGTCACCATTTCTCAGTAGAATTTCTTCCAATTTTGTAGTTATATTGTGTTGAAGTAAAGAACATTTTCTGCCACAACAAAAATAAAGGTTGTCAGAATTTAAAGGATTTGAAATGAAAATTTATGTAAAAAGGAGTGAGTTTTGAAAAAAAAATGATAGACACAATTTTAGGCAAAATAATGTCAATAAAAATTATACTGACATAGATTAGTATTGCATTAATGTATATCAATTTAATAAATGCTGCAATTGTGTAAAATTAATTATCTATAAACATTTTATAATAAAACCATGTACATATAGTAATTGCATGTAAAGAGTTATCTTTCTTGAAAAACTTCACAGTAGTGAAATAGGTAGCCAGGTTCCTGAAGTACAGAAAAATGGACACATGTGACTCATTGATAAAAAACAACTGAATTAATGACTGGATTGCTTTGAAATACTTTAATATTGAGAGAACACACTGTTCTGTCAATAATAAACATGCAATATTTATCAGTTTAATATTAAACATCAGAATATGCGGAAATTGTGATACTGTCTCCCTACATTGGGTTTTCAACTAGGGATGTACTTCCTATTTCCGTTTATCAATACACTCCTATGACCTTAAGGACACTGGCTATTCAATCAGGCCTAGATCTCAGGTAAGGGCACTGGCTATTCAATCAGGCCTAGATCTCAGGTAAGGACACTGGCTATTCAATCAGGCCTAGATCTCAGATAAGGACACTGGCTATTCAATCAGGCCTATATCTCAGGTAAGGACACTGGCTATTCAATCAGGCCTAGATCTCAGGTAAGGACACTGGCTATTCAATCAATCATATTCATTAAATAAAATATACAAATCTCGTTCCAATATGGTTAGGAAATTTTTATAAACAAAATATTTTAATTTCTTCAGATCAAGTCTGACATTTCTGAAAAAGAACCATTAGTAGCTAACTATTCCTTTTATAAAGTTTGTCAAAAATCTGCATTTTATTGAACACAAGTTCTAAAATTTTGATTAGCTTTCTTAAATTATTACGTCATTTATTTGAAAATGTCCTCATGCCAATTTGTAGCCAAAGTTAATTTGATGACCAGTATTTGCTGATGTATGAAAATTTCCCTTCTTAAAACTTTCATTAAGAGTGCTAACGTAGGCAAGGAGAGACGATGATATATAATACACACATTTATATTACTACAGGTTGATTCCGTACGGCTGTGTGTCGACGGGGAAGGACGTGGGAGTTATACAGGTAGTGAGACAGGCTGAGACTCTGATGGAGATACAGAGTAAAGGGGGCATGAAGGGAGCCATACAGATCGACTCCAGTGCCCTACACAAGTGGATCAGCATGAAAAACAAGGATAAGTAGGTGTTCTCACTCACAAGATCATGTACAGTATTCATGGTAATAAGCACTCATATAGTAAATGTAAAATAACAAGGACAAGTAGGTGTTCTCACTCACAAGATCATGTACAGTATTTAAGGTAACAAGCACCCCTCCAACAGTTAAAGTGAAAACAAGGATTAGTAGGTGTTCCCACTCACTGGTTCATGTACAGTATTCATGGTAATAAGCACTTATATAGTAAATGTAAAATAACACGGACAAGTGGGTGTTCTCACTCACATGATCATGTACAGTATTCACACTAATGAACACTCCTCCTAAAATAAATGATAAAACGAGGATAAGTAGGTGTTCTCACAAGTTCATGTTCTGTATTCATGGTAGTAGATACCCCTCCTACAGATAATGTTAAAACAAGGATAAGTAGGTGTTCACACTCACAAGTTCATGTTCTGTATTCATGGAAGTAGATACCCCTCCTACAGATAATGTTAAAACAAGGATAAGTAGGTGTTCTCAATAACAAGTTCATGTTCTGTATTCATGGTAGTAGATCTCCCTCCTACAGATAATGTTAAAATAAGGATAAGTAGGTGTTCTCAATAACAAGTTCATGTTCTGTATTCATGGTAGTAGATCCCCCTCCTACAGATCATGTTAAAACAAGGATTAGTAGGTGTTCCCACTCACTGGTTCATGTACAGTATTCATGGTAATAAGCACTTATATAGTAAATGTAAAATAACAAGGACAAGTAGGTGTTCTCACTCACAAGTTCATGTTCTGTATTCATGGTAGTAGATACCCCTACTACAGATAATGATAAAACAAGGATAAGTAGGTGTTCCCACTCACAAGTTCATGTTCTGTATTCATGTTAGTAGATACCCCTCCTGCAGATAATATTAAAACAAGGATAAGGAGGTGTTCTCACTCACAAGTTAATGTTCTGTATTCATGTTAGTAGATACCCCTCATGCAGATAATGTTAAAACAAAGATAAGTAGGTGTTCTCACTCACAAGTTCATGTTCTGTATTCATGTTAATTAACCTCCCTTCAACAGTTAATGTAAGAACAAAAACAAATAGGTATTTCAACTCACAAGTCCATGCACAGTATTCTTGGTAAATGCCCATTCTACAGCTTATGTATAAACAAAGACAAGTAGTTCTCTTACCCTTGACAGGTGTATCCGCACATTTACCGGTGTGAGATTTCCTTATCTCACCCTAGGGTTGAGACAGGGGGATTCCCCTATTCATAACAATGGTATGATGTCACTTCAACAATACAATGACGTCATGTCAACAATCCATCAACGTCACGTCAACCCTGAATTTAGCATGTAACGTTATCATTGTGAATATGATACACAATGGGAGAACAGGATCAGAGAAAAAAAATCATTCACCCCCTTGTTGGTGAGATAGGGGAATCTCAACCCTCGGGGAAAGATTCTTAAGTTGCCAACCACTCGGCAAAGCCTCATGTTTGGCAACTTAAGAATCTTCCCCCTCGGGTTGAGATTCCCGTATCTCACCCCCAAGAGGGTGAGAGATTATATTAGTCTTCTCACTCTCACTCTCAAGAAGATCATGTTCTGTATTCATGGTAATAACCCCACACCCCACACCCACACCTTCTACAGTTAATGTAAGAGCAAGAACAAATAGATATTTTCACTCACAAGTTCATGTACAGTATTCATGGTAGTAAATACCCACCTACAAATTATGTTCAAAAAGGATAAAGAGGTTTTCTCAGTGACAAACGTTTATTCAATGTACTGTAAACATTGTAATAAACACTCCTCCTCTAATACATGTAAACCAACAGCTAGTAGGTCTTCCTGCTCACAAGTTCATGTATTGTATTGATGGTAATAAATACCCCTCCTGCAATAAGAATTTCATATTTTGACTTTGAAAGAAATACCTTAACATACCCTATATATTCTAGCTCTGTATCTTATTGTTTCACAACAGCTGGTATGCACCTCTTCATTTACAAGTTGAACCACTTGTCTGAGTACCCTACTTGTGCCAAATTGCTTTTCACAGAATTTCTGTTACATGTATATTCATTAAGAAAAGAAGTATCTGTTCACTGCTGTTTTCTAAGTGATTTTGATATTTAATGTAACTTTTAGGTATGACCAGGCTATTGACACCTTCACCCGATCCTGTGCTGGCTACTGTGTTGCAACCTTTATTCTGGGAATTGGTGACCGTCACTCAGAGAATATCATGGTTACAGAAGAAGGACAGGTAAGAGACTTAGAAGTTAGAGATCAGTTTAATTGCTCGTATCAAACATCTGGAAAACAAATTGATAATAATCTAACCTCAGGCCCTAAAAAATAAGCAAAATTTGCTATTAACAATTTAGCCTCAAAGGAACTCCAGAAATAGGCTTAGCACAATTTGAGAGAGAAGAAGACAAATTATTGAAAAATTCCTTCTTAAAAAGAATTTGCAATAAATGGTTTTTTTTATAGTGAAACCTATTATCCTACTGTTTTAATTGTAAAAGCTTGTTTATTGAACATTGTGGCATTGACCCAAAATTTAAAAGTTCATGTCATAAAAGCTTCAAAGTCACACAGCATTAAAAGGTTAAGTTTCAATATATTCTTATATTTTTCAATAATTTGTTACAGGTATTTCATATAGACTTTGGACATTTCCTCAACCATAAGAAAAAGAAGTTTGGAATCAACAGAGAGCGAGTACCATTTGTATTGACCGAAGATTTCATGCGTGTAATAACCAGAGACTCCGACAAAGCCCAGAAACAGGAGAGCTTTAAAAAGTTTGTGTCTCACCAGTCAAATTTTCTCTGTTATTATATAATGTCTATAGCAGCGTATCTAACTAGATTGTTATGGTACATTTCATACAGGGCTAGAAATTTATTTTAAAAACCACTTGTCTATCGGACGAGTATTTCCAGTTTGACTAGTCCATGTGCACTTCCACTTAACCTGATTTTATTCAACACAATTGGTTATATCAAATTTTGACTTGTCAGTTGGGCTTACATTTGTTAGAACCACTAGTACAGCTGAAGATTTCCCACATCCCAGACTATCAGGCTACCCTTGTAAGTTATTGTATAGCCATGATTTCATATTGTGGGGGGAAAAAATGATTTTTTCCGCACATCATCAAGATTTGATGCAATTCTTACATTACTGTAACAATTTCGCAAAAAAAAAAATCTATCTCCTAAAATACTACCTGAATATTTTGAAACAGATGTATGAGTGGAGACCTGATCAGTCGACTGTAACGTTCGTGTATGAGGGCATCCTGAATATTAGTTTCTATCTATCAATGAACATTGTTTATGTTAGCCATTTAATGCTTTTGTATGAAGAATCATAAATATTTACTTCCCTAAGATTAATCAATAGGCTTAATCTCAGGGAAACAAAAGTTTTTGTTTCCTTAATGCAGGGGCATTTGTTTGTTTGTTTGTTTATGTTTAACGGCCCATCGACGGCTGTGGTCATTTAGGGCCATGGTGATTTATTTATTTATTTTAATTTTTAGGTCACCTGAGCTTTAGCTCAAGTGACCTATTGCTATCCGTTTTCGTCCGTCGTCGGTTAACATTTTACATTTCAAACTTAAAGTCAAGTTCTGCTGGGCCGATTGAACTGAAAGTTGGTAGGAATGATCGCCTCATAGTCCTGACAAAGTGTTGTTATTTTTCGGGTCGATCAGAAATCCAATATGGCC